TAAAAAAAACATGATTCATATAAAAAACGGTTTCTTTATTAAATCATTAAATAAGCGTTCGTTATTGGACATTTTTTTACTTTTTGTCGAATAACTCACAAATTTCATATGGAACCACCCCTTTTCAGTTAGATAGGGTGAAACTAGATAATATTTACTATAAATTTGTGTCAACAGTTATATACAGTCCGATATAAAAGTTTTAAATAAAACGACTTTGAATTCGATATTTCATTCTTCCTCAATAAATAGAAAATTTGGGACATTTTTTGGTTTTTGTCAAACAACTCGCAAATTTTATATGAAAGTACTCTTTTTCAGTTAGATAGCGTGAAGCTAGATAAAATTTACTACAATTCCTTGCCATCAGATATATACACTCCCTTATAAAAGTTTTGAATAAGACGACTTTGAATTCGATATTTCATTCTTCCTCAACAAATAGAAAATTCGAGACATTTTTTCCCAACTTCCTCATTCCACAAACAAAACAATACAAATTATTTTTACAATATGTCTCGAATTATATTTCACCCCCAGGTGCCAGCTACTAGAATGATGAAGGTTCCTAGTGAACGTGCTCGACTCTACTTCCTTCTGGCCTGGTTCCATGCAATTGTTCAGGAGAGGCTGCGATATGTTCCTTTGGGTTGGGCCAAACATTACGAATTCAATGATAGCGATTTGAGGGTTGCCTGTGATACACTGGATACTTGGATCGAGGCTACTGCCATGGTAAGAAATATCAATATAAATATTTTTAAACTATTAAGGAGAACCTCTGGTGTTCATATTCTTGATATCCAATACAAATTGGCAATGTATTTTTGTTAATTTTGATGATTTTTTTGTATTTTCAGGGCAGAACAAATCTTCCACCAGAAAAGGTGCCATGGGATGCCCTTGTCACTTTGTTGTCTCAGAGCATTTATGGAGGTAAAATTGATAATGATTTTGACCAAAGGCTGTTGGTCTCCTTCTTGTCCAAATTGTTTACACCTAGAAGCTTCGAATCTGATTTTGCTTTGGTTGCCAATGTGGATGGGGTAAGAAAAAACAAATTACTAATAGTCAATCAGAATATTTCATCATCAATGGGTACCAAATAATTATATTGTCTTATTACTATTAAGGTTGCTGGTGGACCAAACGGTCAGCGCCATATAACAATGCCTGATGGCACTCGTAGAGATCACTTTCTAAAATGGATTGAAGGTTTGGCCGATAGACAAACACCTTCCTGGCTGGGACTTCCAAATAACGCAGAAAAGGTAAGAGCTTCATCATTCTTTCTTGCTTCCTGTCTTCACCAATTTTTTAAATATTTTTAGGTATTGTTAACAACTCGAGGAACAGACCTGGTATCAAAATTACTCAAAATGCAGCAACTAGAAGACGATGATGAACTAGCCTACACGTCTACAGATTCTGATAGTTCTCCAACAGCACAATCACCTGGTGGACAGGAGGATGGACGTCCTTCGTGGATGAAGACTTTGCATGCAAGTGCTGCTACTTGGCTGGAACTGCTGCCCAAACAATTACCGGTAAGTACACATAGAGAAATATATACTATATATCTCCCTTCCGCTTTTTTGCTCTTGGTTTATAATACAAAAAGGCGGAAGGGAGATATTTGACAACCTTATATATATATACTAGATAACCCGGAAAACGTTGTCCTGTACCCGCGTCTGCAATTTTTTAATATCCTATTACTAATATTTACCGTTTTCATAAAAATAATATTTGTTTTTTAAATTACTCTTCACGCCAAAATGCATGTATGAGCGATGTTAAATGTAGAACTGCTTTAAATAAAATGATGAGTCTTAATTCCCACACTATATTGGAAATTGAAGTCTTTTAAACGGTATAACAAATTCAGAAAAAAATAATATATTGGATTTTCACTCAAAATAATTCACTCAAAATAATTGCTCCAATAATGATGCCTATAATTTTTATAATCTCGTACCATATTTTAACTGGTTTTTAGTAATTATAAAATCTAAATTACATTTTTTGCAGAAATTATTTAATATACATTATTACCACGGACGCTCCTGGGGTGCTCAGCCCCTAATATTTTATCTGTTTTATTAATTTATTATTAAAATTATCATTAATCAATATGTGGCTTTTGAAATATTTTACTTATTTATTTTGGGCATTTTATGCGATGGATTCTATTGAGCAAATCATAGAGAGCAACAAAAAAAATTCTAACCTTTCAGTAATAAACATAACACTGGTACTTTATGTTGGATTATTTTAATTTAATTTTTTATATAAGAAATCCAAAATTGCACCTTAAACATCTCCTAATTGATATCGTAAGGGCCGAATCGTATGAATTCATTTTCACTTTCCCATTTGTTGTTTTAAAGTGAAATTTTTAACGTATTTTAAAAATATTGTGCAAAGATTAGTAAAAGATATATATTTAGAAAAATACTATATTGAAAATTTCATATCCGAATCTTGTGTTGGCGCCCCTAAGGCATTCAAGGTTATACCAGCCCTGATTCTTACTTAATTTCGTATTTTAAGTAAATTAATTTATCAAGTCCTGTTCATATGTGTATCATTCAATCTGCCATACATATACTGTATGTTATATTATTTTAATTTCTGGCACATCTCAGCTGCTTTTCGGCAATAATAATGTATACATTTCATTTTTCTTATTCATAATCATGAATTTATTATGCATATTCTAATATTGTCTAGGCTCATAAGTAATTGAAATTTTTGGCAGATTACAGTTTTCATTTGTTTTAATGCTTGATAATTGATTTATTTTTTATTTATTTATTAGTTTTGTTGTTCATTTATTTATTATTCATCTATTTATTCAATTTATTTTTTTACTTCATTTAATTTTTTCATCTGTTTATTTATTTGTTTGTTTATTTATGTTCTTATTAATTTATTCGCTCATTTATTTATGCATTTATTTATTCAATCATTTACTCATTTATGTGTTTATTCCTTTATTAGCCTTCTTGTTTATTTATTAATTTATTATTTTATTTATTTATTAGCATTTTTTTTCATTTATATATTTTTTTTATTCATTTATGTTTATTTACTTCTTTATTTGTTCATTTGCTAATTTATCATTTTTTTATTCAATTATTTATTCAATCATTTATTTATTTATTTATTTATTTATTCATTCAATCATTCATTTTTTTATGCATTTATTTATTTATTTGATGTATCCATTCATTCATTTATTTGTTTATATTCTTTTTTATTCGTTTAATTATGTCTCCAATAATTTCAATGTCAAACAATGACATGTCATTTTTTGCAATTTTTTCGATTTATTTCTACAATATAAACTACATTTTCATAACCACATACATCCCTTAACAAACTTCAGAAAGATTGATCAAAATTCGAATAATCGTTTAGGAGGAGTATATTTACATACATCATTACAGAAGAATTTTAAATATAAGATGTAATTTTTACAATGTTATTTTTGTCAATTGCAATTTTTTCCAGTTATTTCTACAATATTACTATGATTCTATAATCACATACGTCCTAAAAAAAAATCCCTTAACAAACTACAGAAAGATTTATCAAAATTCGAATAATCGTTTAGGAGGACTATATTTATATACATCATTACAGAAGAATTTTAAATATAAGATGTAATTTTTACAATGTTATTTTTGTCAATTGCAATTTTTTCCAGTTATTTCTACAATATTACTATAATTCTATAATCACATACGTCCTAAAAAAAATCCCTTAACAAACTACAGAAAGATTTATCAAAATTCGAATAATCGTTTAGGAGGAGTATATTTACATACATTATTACAGAAGAATTTTATATATGAGATGTAATTTTTACAATGTTATTTTTGTCAATTGCATTTTTTTTCATTTATTTCTACAATATTACTAAATTTTCATAATCACATACATCCTAAAAAAATCCCTAAACTTCGGAAAGATTTATCAAAATCTGAATAATCGTTTAGGAGGAGTATATTTACATACATCATTACATAAGTATTTTATACATAAGATGTAATTTTTACAATATTATTTTGGTATTTCTTAGACTCTCAAACGTACTGTGGAGAACATCAAGGATCCATTATACAGATACTTTGAACGAGAAGTCAATTCCGGAGCAAAATTGCTGCAAGAAGTCATTCATGATCTGCAAGATGTTGTCTTGATCTGCAAGGTAAGTGTAAATAAAATTCCTGTGTCTTATTATTCAACTACAAGTTTGTTATTTATTTACTAGGGTGAAAAGAAGCAAACAAATTACCACCGAGCAATGTTGGGTGAACTGGTGCGAGGAATGTTACCAGCCGGTTGGAGACGTTATACAGTTCCAAGGGGCTGTACTGTAATTCAATGGGTCACTGATTTTGGACAACGTGTACGACAACTTCAAAAAGTCTCAGAACTGGTGTCACAATCTGGTGCTAAATCATTACAGGTAAAAATAGATTATTTAAACTGGCAATTCATAGAGAGCAAAAAAATTCTAGCCTTTTATTATTAAACATAACTATAACATAACACTGGTAATTCATGTTGGATTATTTTAATTTAATTTTTTATTATTTAAGATATCCAAAATAGCATCTTAAACTTCTGGTAATTGATAATAATGTAGACAGATCATTATTATTCATAATCATGAGTTTATTATACATATTCTAATATTGTCTAGGCTCATAAGTAAATTGAAATTTTTGTATCTGTACCTTATATCATATTAATTTCTGGCACGTCTCAACTGCTTTTTGGCAATAATAATGTAGACATTACATTGTTCTTACTCATAATCCTGAATTTATTATACATATTCCAATATTGTCTAGACTCATAAGTAAATTGAAACATTTGGCAGTCGACAGTTTTCATTTGTTTTCAATGCCAAACAATGTCTCAAATATTTTCAATGTCAAACAATGACATGTCTAACATGCATTACTAATAATTATCCTTTACCCCAGGCCTTCGAAGTATGGTTAGGTGGTCTTCTGAATCCAGAAGCGTACATTACGGCTACAAGGCAATGTGTAGCTCAAGCGAATAGTTGGTCTTTAGAAGAACTGTCGTTGGATGTCACGATTGTGGATGGAGCAATGCCTGCGTCGACAGAGGCAGGATGCTTTGCTGTCACTGGTCTTAAATTGCAAGGAGCGCAGTGCAGGAATAACCAGCTGTTGTTGACGTCTACTATTATGATGGATTTGCCACATACTTTGCTTAGATGGATAAGGTAAGGATGATATTTTAATTTGTTTTCCAGAAGTTATTGCTAGTAAATACTATTTGCTATTTTTGTGTTTTCTCGACGTTTCAAGTCATTCTGAATCGTTTGAGACCAAATTTGTAAAAAGTGTGTGTGTGTTGGACATTATTTGTTTTTCTAATTTTTGTTTTATTAGTTGTGTATTATTAAATTTTGAATGTTCTTTTTCTACATCTTTTGCACATTAAACTATTTTTTTAGATTCACAAAATAAATTTTATATTCAATATTTTATTAGTAGAAGGGCTCTTAAAATATTATTTATTTTATTGAATTATTTTTCTAATTCATTATTCATTTATTTCTTCACTTAATTACTTATTTATGTATTTTTTCATTTAAATACTTATTTATTTATTCATTCATTTATTAAATTTATTTATGTATCCATTTATTTATTTACTTTTTTATTAATTAATTTATTTATTTTTTATTTATTTATTTACTTATTTATTTATTCATTCATTAATTTGTGTTTGTATTTAAGTATTTATCAATTCATTTAATTTATTTATCGATTCATTCATATGTTTTTTTTATACACGTTTTTATTCATTTATTTATGCATTTATTTATTTGATTTATTCATTTATTCATTTGTGCATTCATTAATTTATTTGATTTATTCATCCATTGATTTATTTGTGTTTTCTTCGTTTACTTATATATTCATTTATTTATCCTTTTATTCATTTATTCAATTATTTAATTTTTTTTTTATTCATTCATTTATTTTTTTATTCGTTTATTTACTTATTGATTTATTTTCTGTATTTATCCATACATTCATTTACTTTTTTTATCTATACTATATTCATTTATTAACCTTCTTCTTGTTCCTTTATTTATTATTCATCTATTTATTCAATTAATTTATTTATTTATTTATTATTTACTTATTTACTTATTTATTTCTTTATTTGTTAAATTGTCGATATATTTTTTATTCAATTATTAGTCTTCTTGACCATTTATTAATTCATTTTTATGTATTTGTTTATTTATTCATTTATAAGTTTATTTATTGATTTATTCATTTATGCATTTATTTATTTGATTTATCCATCCATTTATTTATTTTTTTATACGCCTTTTGTTTATTAATTAATTCATTCCTGTTTTATTAATTTTTCTTCGATTGTTTATTTATTTAATTTAATCATAAATCTATTCATTTATTTATATAACTTTTTTATTTGTTTATTTCTTCATTCATTTCTTTATTCATACATTTATTCACTCGTTTATTTATTTTACTTATTTATTCATTCTCTTATTTATTTATCATTTCATTTATTTATCTATTCATCTAATTTGTTCATTTATTTATTTTTGAATTGATTTATTTATTCATTAATTGATTTGTGTTTATCCATTTTTCTTCTTTTTTTATTCATTTATCTATTCATCATTCTTATATCTTACTCTTACATCATAATAATTTGATCATTAATTAATTAATTCATTCATAATTTTTTTTTTCATACTTTTTTAATTACTCATTTATGTATTCATTGATTGATTTACTTATGTATTTATCGACTAATTTATTTATTTATTTATTTCTTTATTTGTTTATTTTTTCATGTATTTATTTATTCATTTAATTATTTCTTTATTTATTTATTAGCCTTCTAGTTCATTTATTAATTTGCTTATTCTTTAATTTATTTATTTGTTTTTTTATTCATTTATTTATTCAATTATTCATTGATTTGTTCATTCATTCATTCATTTATTTTTATTTTCTAAACAGCTCAATCCCAATACTTAATAATTAAGTTCATGCAACTTGCCATAAGGCAAAATACTGCTTACACCTAGTTAACTAAGTCTTATATAAAAAAATAATACTTTTATAAAAAAAACTATTACAACAGTGCTGTAACTAATTTTATTCATTTATTTCCAGGACTTCTTCAGAAAGAAAAACAGATAAACTCTCCTTACCGGTGTACTTAAACTCAACCAGAAGCGAACTACTGTTCACCGTAGACCTATCTGTAGCATCTGGACAAGACCCACATAGTTTCTATGAACGAGGAGTAGCCCTACTCACATCTACAGCTTTGAATTAAACTAAACTCGATATTAGATTTATTTCAGTATTTAAAAGTAACTTATACCTAAAACTATATTCTAATAACTGCTTAGCTGTTTTATTAATTTAATTTATATAATTTAATTGTTAGATTTGCTATTTTAGATATTTATTATGAATGTGAAGAAAGATACTCAAAACAAAAACAAAAATATATAAAAGAAGATTGATGTTAGTTTGATAATTAGTTTTATACTATATTTTGTTATTAATCTTTTAGAATTTTCAAACTGCAATAAAATACCTGATTAATATTAAATTTTGTTTATTTTAATCAAGACAGACGTATTATAAATATTAATTCAAAACATGTACAAATTGAATATAAATATAAATTATCTTTTCTGGTCACCCAGGTCTTCAATGAAATCTTCATCAATCTGCAAACAAAATCAAGATAATGATAATCAATTACACAAAAGAAAACAGAAATTGATGTACCTCTGGCCACTTTTCTGGTATGATGTCGAATAGGTCATCTTTTACATCACCCTGGATTACAATTTCATCATCACCGGTTACAGAGGAACCACATGCAAACTTTTGTCCGAAGAATTTGGAGGCTACTTTCAAATCAATATCTGGGAAAGAAAATACAATTACTTGTTATTACAAGATCAAGTAAATACAATGATTAGAATATTTATATTTATTACCAAAGGTGCTTAAACCGGTTACAACAGTTACAGACTTTTTCTTTCCCCTAGGGGCTCTAGAGACACAGACTTGTTTGGGTCCATCTTCTTTCTTTTTGGTTTTTAACATGCCTTTACCACCACGTTTCTGTCGCTTCTTTTCCTCTTCATTGGCTCCATCACCATCATTATCTACAAACGCAAAAGGTAAGAACAAAGTTTACAATATTGTTTTTTTCTTTTTTTACCTATTTTGACTTTTTCAAATTCTGTAGGTAGATGTCTTTCAAGCCACTGTTTGCATTTTTCGTACTCCGGGTAATATTCGCAGTACTAAAAGACATGAACACAAAATCAAATGCTGGAGGAACTTGAAAGGATCTTTGCAAGAAAACTAACCTCAATTGGCATACTGCAATTTCCACAATACTGGACGATTATCGGGTATGTGACATCTGGTTTAGGTCCTATTTGTAATTTTTCGGGTATTGCTACATCAGCCATTGCTGAAAATAATAATAAGTAATAACTGAAGCCTTAAATTAATAAATTTTAGACACTGTCACATTGTTTGGTACATACTTGTGGAAAAATATTATCCTGAAGGTGTAGTAATAGCAACTAAATAATTATTCAATTAATAATAACTAAATTCAATGTCTGGTAGTTATATAATTCTATTTACCACTTTTTTTAAATAAAAGTTTGTTGAAAATAATTTTAGTGCAAATGGAGGTTTGAGGTTGAGATTTGACAGCTCAGAGTCATAAACCGCGATTTTTAATACAAAATTTACATTTTATGCAAGACAAACAAAACATTTCACATATAATGGTAAAAGACACAAAATATATATAAATTACATTTTATTATTGATTTATCTATATAAAATATGATATTTGTGAAAGATTTATGCCTAAAATATGTATTTTAAAATTTGCGCTATTTTCTCCAAACATGGTGCCAACTTCAGGTCGTGATTAAACTGTCAACCATCAATTGTCAAAATTGTAAAAATTTGAAGTATATAAATATAAACTTAGATAAAAAAAGAGTATGAATATAAATATATAAAATATATTTAAAATAAATCAAAAACAAATAATTATGTTGTATAGTTTATTAATACATTTATTAGGTCATAGTATATATAAGTTACATTAAAAGTTATGATTTTGTTAAGTTCTTTTTTGCTTATTAGGACTGAAAAGATATTGAAATGATCTTTTGAAAGGAAAAACTACTGATAAAGTCACTAAATGAGGTAAAGCACATATATAGGAAGATAAAATTAGACTTAGTATCTGAAGAAGAAGATTAGTTGATGCCAAGCACTTACGTGGATCTCAAAAGTATAATTTATATGATTATTTTGAATTTTTGATCAACATTGCATATTTTGCATCTAACGATATATTGCATCATACAATTATACCTTTTCTATCATGTATTGTTATTCTTCATTATATTGTTATCTCATTATATTGTTTCTTCATTATATTTATTATAGTAATACTACAATTAATTAATTATTCTAACAACTCAATTTCTTTCTGTTATAGAATGCTCTAAGACAAGAATCCATGGCAATAGACAATCCTGACCCCGGAGTATCTTCTGAGTTTAGAACTTTATAGTAAACCACTTCCAATGCAGACTTTTGGGATATCTCTCAGTTTCACACAGACCCCAGAGCACCCTTTCTGTGTTACAGATGAATATATAAATGTAACCTTCGAGAATAAGTGTGTAAGAAAAAGAATCTCTTATGAACTGTTAGAAGCTGTTTAAAACAAAATTTTATACAATTTGTGATATTATAATATACAATTGCATTGGTGAGATTTAAATCATAATTGATTGTAATTAAATTATAATATATATATAATAATATTTGTTAAGTTCTAAACGAAGTTATATATACAATTATAATTGTAAGTTAATTATTTCTAAAATTTATATCTAGAATGTGTGTGATTGAACAATGCTTGATAACGATAATTTATGCAATGATTTAAAAACAAGTGTACTTATATACATTTTTTTAAAAATTTTACTTATTCCTGTTCTACCATTAATTAACAGTAGATTTTTTGTAATAAATTATTAATGTAAATTATAGGAAAGATATAATTTTAATAGGCATCTCACAATTGCACATGTAGTGCAATTGACTGTGATATTATAATAAGAAAAAAATTTGGTCTTTCAGATGTATTATAAATTTATAGGATAACTTATCTCGTATTTGTAATATTAGAAGTAACAGGACAGTGTAAATGTTTAAAAGACTAGATTTAGTTACATATGCAGATCTTTTTATTGACTTAATTGTTATCAATTCAAGTCAAGTATTTTTTGTAAATGATCTTTATAGACTGTTTGAAACTGTTTACAACATATAACTGCATTATTAAGCTTTAAATATTAATTGACAGTAATTAAATTAATAAGACAGCCAAATCTAATCATAACTTTCTTATTTCTAAAATTTTAACTTAGGATATGTGTGTTTAATAAGCTTATTTTGCTTGTTTCTGTTAGATACTGTTACTTGTTTATTATTATTATCAAAGCCGTGAAAAGTGTGTTCAAATTACTGTTTTTTAAGTTAAAAATTTTATTTCTCAGTAGTTGTTCATTCCATATAGGGCCAATTATAAATTAGTAATAAAGAATTATATTATTTGCTAGTTATTATATATAAATGCACATTAATGTAATCTTGTTTTTGCCTATAGAACAATAAAATTTTGTGTAAATTGAAAAATTGAGTTTGTATTGTCAAATTTATTATATGTGATAAACTCTTTTTTTTCAGGTGAAAATATTTAATAATATTCAAAATTTTATTAAAAATAATATTAGTTTAATAGACATCTTCCACAGGTAGTGCAGTCTACTGTGATTGCACTAATTATAAATAAGTATGTTTGTAAATGTAAATTCTAATTTCAGTTTTAAAAATCTATGTATTACTTTTCATTCTTTTTTTCAAAGCTTTATTTCTTAATAAGTGTAAAACATGCAGTAATGTATAAAACGATATATAAATGTATATATTGATATTCCTTTAAAACCGTTACCATAATTATATATCCAATAACGTATAAAGGAATCCAATGTGAATCCACTAAGATTCCTTCTTTTCTGAGACGATTGCATGCAGCGCCTCTATGCAAAAATGTTCCCAAATCGCGAGGAACTACGTAGTGACTACCGGGTTCATATGGTTCTGTGTTAGATGGCGCCACTGACTTAAAACTCTTGACAGTTCAACGACAAGGAAGTATCTACCCACACATATATACAAACGGTATATAATATGTCGAGTTGAATCCACGGATTTATATATTAATTTTTACATAATTATATATATACTAGCTGCCCTAGTTTGTATAAAAATTGAATATATAAATGTATATAGTGATTTATACATGATTATATATATACTAGCTGTCCTAGTTTGTATGAGAATTGGATATATAAATGTATATATTGATTTATACATGATTATATATGGCCTAACTGCCTTAGTTTGTATGGGAATTGGATATATAAATGTATATATTGATTTATACATGATTATATATATACTAGCTGGGCTAGTTTGTTTGGGAATTGGATATATAAATGTATATATTGATTTATACATGATTATTTATATACTAGCTGGGCTAGTTTGTATGGGAATTGGATATATAAATGTATATATTGATTTATACATGATTATATATATACTAGCTGTCTCAATTTGTATGGGAATTGGATATATAAATGTATATATTGATTTATACGTGATTATATATATACTAGCTGGCCTAGTTTGTATAAGAATTGGATATATAAATGTATATATCGATTTATACATGATTATATATATATATACTAGCTGTCCCAAATTGTATGGGAATTGAATATATAAATTTATTTATTAAAATTTCAAAGATTTTTCGCATCATTATATAGACCAAATTCGATGCATGGCATCTTGCTTTAAGGCAAATTGCTTAAACTTTCCACCGTAATCAAATATATTAAATGGAATTTTAAACGTTTTCTAATAGATTTTTATAAATTTGGGAGATATACAGAAAAAGTAAGTGAAACTGGAAGATGTTTAAATGTTTATTTAAAATTTATTGAGAAAATAAAACAAAATACTTAATAAATTTGCTTGGGGATTCGAACCCAAACAAAAACGATCGCTATTGCATCCGAGGCGATTTAACGATCTCGTCCACCTCATCCCCTGCAAAAAAATGTTAGAATATGATACATGTGTTAACTATTACTTCACATGCCTCCCTCGCCTTTTAAATTGTCGAATAAAAATTCCTATCGGATTCGAACCAGCATCCTTCTGATTAGAGTCTGGTTTAGCGCTCTAACCGATTCGGCCACGGCGACAAAGATTTTCTTCGTGCTAATACTGGAAGGACATTCTTCGACGACCGACCATCATGATTCGAGTCAAGGTCACAGGGGGATGATATGAAA